ATATAATAATGTCTCATCTCTCCTCTTTTTCCCTTCAGTTCAGGCAATTACAAGGAATTAAATTCTTTCTAGTTGCTTACCAAAACCCATCCACATGAATCTGCATAGGATGGAACATGAGCTGTGTATGCAATCACATCTGTGCAGATGAAACAAAACATGTTACGCCAACCAATATTTATATTGATACAATTTATATATAGAAGATCGCATCAATAAAATACAGTCGAATTGCATAATAAAACGAATCACGGCTTATACTAACAAAATTCTTACATCTGAAGACATGCTTTACAGTGTTGTATATTGATGAGAAGACCTTGTGGGAGAGCATACCAGCAGGGCCAGCCTACATTTTACAGAGGAGAATAAAGAACAAAACAGAGAGAGGTTGCTATAGCGTTGAGAAGATTTAGGACTGAGAATATAATGTACCTGAGTAACAAATATACCATTATCATTCAGCTTGGGCTTAATCACTCCCTCATAGAAGGATTTAGTGTAAAGATGATTGCATGGTCCTCCTTCGTGTGGATCCGCTAGATCGCCAATGATTACATCGAACTTCTCTGGTTGTCCCTCCAATCCAGCCCTGTTTCATTTATGAGTGGGTTAGGTTAGACGACTGGACATATGGATATTACAGAACTTGTATCCTTTGGGAAATATGCATTGGTTCAAGAAATATAGCTTTGACAAGCTCAATAACACACATTGCACTAATAGCAAATGGCAGATGGAACGGACTATGGCATGTGCCTACTGAAACTCTATCATTAAAAGGAAATCGAAATCATGCTTATGGGATAATAGACCAAAGGGAAAACTACTCACTTTGCATCGTCAAAAATAATGTGAAGTTTCTCGTCCTGAAATGCATCCTGGTTTTCGGTCAGATGGGCATTGCAGAAATTGACAACCTCCTACAAAGTTGTTCCCTCTAAGGTTATCAGTAACAACACAAATGAAAGACAATTGCACCAATTGGTTTGTTCTCCTCCCTTTCTTCCATCAACACTTCTTTACTTATTAATTTTTCGGTCATATTGATACAAATTACAAATAAGTGCATCTTTCTTAAGAGTTTGAGAACCATACCCTATCAATATCACACATAACAACTTTCTCAATATCTTTGTGCTTTAGCGTCTCTCTAGCTGTGGACCCTTCTCCACCTCCCATTATAAATACTGTTTTGGGGCTGAAATCATCCAAAGAGACGAGAGGGAAGATAAGAACAAAATCGGATTTGCTGCAGATTGCAGACCCACGACCAAAAAGGAAGGCAGCATACCTATGATGCAGTAACAGAGCAGGATGCACCAAGGACTCATGGTAAATGAATTCATCTTTTTCAGCACTTTGCAGCTTCCCATCAAGCAATAGAGCCTGAAATGGTGTCAGTAAACTCGTTTGGACTAATCAAGTGTTATTGGTAAGGAAGAAGATGTGTGATATAAACCAAACCTTTCCAAATCGTTTGGTATCTAAGAGAACTACATCTTGAAACTCGCTGGTCGTGGCATGAAGTATCCTAGAGGAAGTGAATGTGAAGATCGGTTGTGCTCAAAATTAGTGTTATCTACCCTACAGTTAAAGGCAAGGCATATAGAGAGAAAGGATGGACCTGTTGACAGCAAAGGACCATTTGAGATCATCCTCGAGTTGCTCCTCGTACCATTGAGAGAGTTGGCGGTCATGTTGGAGAGGGAGAGCAGTGGCGTTGGCGTTGGGGATAAAGAGAACAGAAAGGGCAGAGCAGAGGGATGAAAACATTGTGTGCAGTGAAGCGAAGAATGTGGATATGGATATGCAGAAGAAAACTTCTGAGACAAGTAATGAAGAATCAAGGAAGAACAGGCAGATTATAAGGAAGTTGGAGTTCAAAGCTAGAGATGAGAGATAATAACGTGAATCAACGAAAGTAAACGCATAACGCTCTGCATTGGGATATAGACGAGGCTTTTACGTCTCCCGTTTGGCAGTTTACAAAGTCAGGATTTGTCTTCAACCTTCTTAAACCATATCCAATGCATGCAAAATCCCACGTAATCCAGACAGGTCACAAAACTAAACAACTCTGCATTGCGCCTTACAACAGTCAGCAACTAACTGCTTTATAAAATTGACGGCCTTGCCATGCATTCGTCAATATATCGTCATTAATTATAGGGATAATCTTATTTTTATCCATATAGAGATAAACCAATAAAAAGAAATTACACCTGACCTGAATAAAAATCTCAAAGAAAATAATAACCCAACGAAGTACACAAGTGAATGGCCAACATGGACGGCGCTTCGATGAAGACACCTCTACTTTCTGAAAATAAATCTCCGCCCGATAATCGTCCGTACAGGCCGGTTCGGATCGGTTTTGGTAAAACTGATTGCCGATAGATTTTGGATATCAAAATCGACCCATACAAATCAGTAAAACCAACCAACGTAACAAAATCCATCAAAACCAACATACACACCGACCAAACCAACTCAATTATTTTTTCCACAAGTCAATTACAAAAATATACCTCTTCATGAATCCAAACACACAGATGGGATAGAATTAGGTGCTAGAAATTGAGTATATGATTACACTTACTAGACATTTCAGATATTACATACAATCAAATGCAAGTAATTCAACCTAACAACATCTTCCAAGTTAGGGACAGTACCGCTGACATTTTTAGCTAGAATTGAATCAAACATGAGACCCATGTTCCTTTGCTATTGGGAAATGACGGCTCCGAAAGAAGTTAATAACCGTACAATGGCTGCCACATTTTGAATGCTACTTTTCAATTTAAACAACATCAAGGAGATCTTGATATGTCATGTCCGCCAACCAGAGTAGATGAAAATATGCAACTAGACTTTGAAGGTTCAGTTCCACGGAGTACAAAGTAAATAGTAGGAAGAAAAAACATGATTGTAAAGGGCTCCGGCATCATAAAAAATGTTCCTCATAAGCATTTTGTTTAATTATCAAAAAGAAGGCTCAGCAGTCAGAAGCTAAAACCAGCATTGGGAGGAAGAACAATGGGACATCAATGGAATCTTGAGAAAGAGAAAATACAAAATTGAAGATTACGGTTGATTCCAAACATTAATATCTAAAACAGAAGGCCTTCAAGCAACTACTACTGGAATCTCAATATCAGTGGACAAAATTGCTGGTCTATGGACGATTTCTTCTTCCTCCTTGGGAGAGTGGATGGTAACAACATCAGGGAGAGGAGTGGTAGGGCCTTGCTTGCCCTTAGGATCCCAGTCGAGCATTATCTTAACTTTGATACCCAGAACACCCTGAGCCAAAAAGGAAAACAACAATAACATCAGCATACAACAACAGAACACATCGAGTAAGAACCTGTTTCTTGTAGGACCATTGTAAGCAAACCTGTCTGAGAAGAACATGTCTAACAGCAGAGTCAATATAATCTCTGACTGGTTGACCTGAAGATATCATGTATCCATCCTTGAACTTCATAGACTTGGCACGCTGTGCCCTGAGCTTTCCGCTAACAATCACCTGTTTGGACGTTGAGAATTACCATGTATAAATATCCAACAATAATTTTTCATACAGTGAAATTAATGATGATTGAGCTAAAAGCTAACCTCACAACCCTTTGCTCCACTTTCCATGACAAATCTCAGAACACCATAGCATGCCCTGATGAACAAAGTATATATACAAGCATGTGAAAATTAACTGAAAGTAGTACATATTCTTTCTAATACTCCTATTGCTCATAATAGGCAAGTCAAAAGGATCAAATAAAATGGCATCATAGACTCTTAAACCAATGAACTTACATACTTCAAAACTAATAATAAAAGGAGCCTACCTGTTAGATAACAATAAAAGACACCACAGATACTGAAAAGCACAACAACCATACATTTTTATGTATAAGATTATGTATGTTTGTCAACTTAAACATAGCTCAATTAGTTAAGATATAAACATTCTCCCTTAATGTTGAAGATTCGAATTCCCACCTACACTTGTAATGTTATATTCTCCCATAATGTTCTAAAGGCTTTGGAGTCTTCAAGCCTCCATGAGACACTAAGGCTCAAAGTCTTTCCCTTAAGTAATGGTTAGAATAATAGTGTTAATTTGCATGGTCTTCGAAATGTACAAGTTCCTTTGTAATACTAATACATCACAAGTTGCAGTAGTTAAGCCTATTCCTACACTTAACACATAGATTTAAAAACATGCAAACAAAATTTAAAAACAAGTCAATTGATTAATTATGGTAAAGATGCTAAGAATGGCCTTGTAGAATCCTTTTTAAGAAAGTGCAACTGATGATAAGTGTGTATTTTTTACCCTTCCATACAATCATTATGCTTTATATACTAGTTGATTGTACGTTTTTATGGTTTGAATAGTTATTTCTTAATAAATATAAAGGCCTAACGCTTTAGACTATTAAAGCATTGCGACAGAGAAATCAAAAGTAGCAGAACAAGGAGGCTAAAGATACCACCAGGTACCCGCATGTCTCCTCCATTATTACAGTGTGGAAACATAATGATTCCACAATGATTATCAAATGGAAGAGCTCAATTAATATTGTCACCTTCCGACACAAAGTTGGTACCAAAACACCAATCTGCTTTGTAGATGACATAAAAACGAAACCAGATATTAAAAAACAACTCGTATGGAACTACAACAGAACGGAGTCATTTCCCTTCAATGAGATGTGGAATCAAATACCACAAACTAACACTATGTATCAGAGCTATACGCAGTATGATAATGAATATGTGATCTGTATTCCTTCACAATCATAAATCGTAGTTCAATTTGCAAGTCAGAATCAATAAAATAATAACATAATAATACGGGGAATGAAAAGAGAAAAACAAAGTACCTCCGAACAGCAAGGCCACCAAGTAGCTTATAGCGAAGAGATTCGGCTTGGGCAATGGCGCAAAGCCCTCTGTTGTTAACTTTCTCGGCATAAAGCTCAACACTGTTCTCCGGAAACTTGAACCGCTTCTGCACAACCGAGGTCAGTTCCCTAATTCTCCTGCCCTTTTCTCCTATATTACCAAATAAAATTTTCTAAGAAAATTGCCAAATAATATCGATAACTGTTAACCTAAGACGTTCAATCTATTGGAGCATGGAGCACAAAGTAAAGCTGTTTAATCAATTGAATTTCGAAATCGATGAAAACTGACCGAGAACGTTTTGGGTGCGGGTGGCTCGGATGATGATCTCGGTGCGCATAGGAGTTACTCTAACCTCAACTCCGGAGTATCCATCCTCAGCCAACTCTCTGGTCAGAACCTCGTTTAACTCGGCAAAAAATACTCCATCGGCTACGAACTGCAACAAAATCGAACAGAAAATATAACCAATACAAAACAGAACAGATCAACCGTTGTAGAGATGGTCAGGAAAACAGTACAGATTAAGGAATTTCGTGGACTGACCTTTCTCTTCTTACTCATCTGAGTCGACATTTTCAAAGAGCGATTGGAGAGAGATCAATGAAGCCGTGCGTAAAATATCTGAGTTATGAGAAAGGAAGGCTCTGTGCTGCGCGCGTTCCAGTGGAAGAGAAGCCGCTGGTAGATTGAAATTTATACGGGTGCATGCATTGTGACCCTAGATTTGGATCTAGGGTTTCAAAAATGAACGGACGAGATTTGTTCGTAGATTTAAGCAGAACCTTGGTGTTATATTCACGGCCCAAAGAGCCCAACTATTGGGTCGAATAGTCTATTGGTCCATGAGAATCCACGTGTAGCCCAAATATACCCAATCCATTGCCCTTAATATTTTTATTTTGTTATTTTAAATTCAACCTTGTATTGAAGTATTTTTATGAATTAACAAAATAATAATAATACTAATAATAATCTTCCATCGATAAACTTTTAAAAATATTAAAACTTTCTATATTTCACACAGGATTCCACAGAGTGCGGGTCGGACGGGTCTTTCCCTATTATTCTGTTCCCGCCACGAGAAAGACGTTGTAGTTAATTTTTTGAAACATTAAGAACTTTCAAATTTAAAATATAAAGTAAAATTTAGTAACAATATAAAATGTAAACTAATAATACAATTTAATAAATAACAAATATAAGATCACTTTTATGTTAAAAGCGTTTAAAATGACAGTTATGGAAAATCCAATGTTCACATTTTATAATAAATAATTCATAGCATTTGAGGCCTAAAGGCGAGGAAATTTTTTATTGCTTAATTAAATATTTGAGATAAATGTACAAATAAAAAATTACAAAAACAAAATAATGAATGGTCAAATATTTAATGGTAGCAAGGTAACTTTCCTTTAACTTTAAATAGCTAAGTTTTTTTTAGTCCAAATGAGAATTGGAGGAGATTGAGATGACAAAATTTTAAACAGCTGCATGCAAATGATAGGAGATTGAGATGACAGATTTAGATCTACAGTTTCGAAAATGAACGGACGAAATTTGTTGATAGATTTCTTTTTTCCTTTTTTTTTAAATAGGAATTTGTTCATAGATTTCGGCATTGCACCCTTGGTGTGATATTGACGGCCCAAGAAGCCCAACTACTGAGTCCAATAGTCCATTGGTCCATTAACGAGAAACCGCCTTGTTAATGCACACGAAAATCCAAAATTGACCCAAATCTATCTAATCCCTTGCACTGAATAGTTAATATTTTTATTTTGTTATTTTAAATTGATATATATATGTAGTGACCTTTTTAATAATTCTTCGATTGGACCCTTCTAATTTAATTAAAAAACCACACCGATGGTATGGCAATAGAAGAATGGCAGATCGATAAGATTAGAGACCTAATCGTTTAAATTAATTTAAATTCAAAACAAAATAATTAAAATAGTCTGTTTATGCAAGGATATGCACAACAGTGTATTTCAGATTGCAGCTCGAACTCGGCCTCCGGACCGATCTGAATACTTGGGCGGACCTGCACAAAAAGGTGAGCACTCCGACGATCAAGTCAGTATAGGTCGGATTCCCAGTTTAGTTCGAGGTTAGAAAAATCATCATACCTGATCGTGGAGTGAGGTCCTCTACTTATGGGTGGTAGTCCTGCTAATCTCGCGACGGTTACACCCGGGTAATCTCGGGACCGTCGGTTACACCCGATAATCACGCCGCTGACAGTAGCTCACATCGGCCCCTACCGAGCTTCCCGGTAGGTCGGACATCGGCCAGGTTCACCTCGGCCCTCATACTTAGCATCTGTCAACGCTAGTGGTGGTGATCTCGACGGTCCGAGCTGGACATGACTCATGAGTTATCTTGGAGCACCAATAGGGGTCCTCCACGTGTGCAGGTATTGTCTTCCCCAAACATAGTCTAATTAAAATCTCTTGAATATATGACAAAAAATTTGATTCAAATCAAGTTTGTTACGAAAAACAATAAAATCACCTTATTTTTTAAAACTCCTAAACAAGTACATCCCACCTCTTTTTTTTATCGGATATACATACTTTAATTAGTTGAGCTAAATTAAAATTAGCATTGAGAGATAGAGGGTTAAAATAACGACGATAATTATATATCATAAGAGTAGCTAGAAAAAATAGCTAAAAATAACTGGCCTTTTCTTTTCATATTCTACACCTACCACAGTAGCAGTTGTTTATATGTTGACTATAGTAAATGTCATTTATTATGTTTCAATAATTATTTAACTTTTCTTTAAATTATATATTTCATATTAAGCTGTATTTTACTTTATTTGCGAAGGATCTCATATTAAGTTTATTCATTTTACTATATTTGATAAACACGGTATAAAATTAGAAATGTTCAAAATCTTTTGAGTTTGTAAAGTAAAAAGGTTTAAACAACTAATTTTAATTTTTTTAACATAGTTACTTTTAAATATACTCGTTTAATAACTATTTTAACATAGCAAAATAAACTCAACAATCTTTACACTACTAATTTTATTCAAATTTTGTTTTAACAGAATTTTAAAAGAAAAAACCGCTTCGTTGCGTGGAAATGAGGTTATAAAGAAATTAGCTGGTGTTTTATTTAAAAAAAAAATCTCAAGCAATTTATTTTTTAGTCCAACAATTAATGGATAGAAATTGAACCATGGATGGTATTAAGGTTCAAACAAATTAGTTAGGTAATAATACACGTATCTTAATCTTAACTATTCTAAAAGGCTACAATTTTAATCTATTTATTTATTTATTGAGTTCTCTACCAATATGATACTAAGCAACAAAATTATTAAAATAATATATATAACTCATGAGTGAGAATAATTATTTGAGCCCAAAACAAATTATTTAGCTTTTTATTTTATTTTGAAGAAGTACATTGTAGGTAAAGTTTAAGTAATATACTAAAAAAAGAGAGAATAGATCTAGAGGAGTTCTTCCTCCTTGTTGCTGAAAGTGCAAGGAAACAGGAGATAAAATAGGATAAAGGAGACCAAAAGATAGATTCCATGTTATTGTGTTTTTTAAGTCCAAACTGATGGTGATATGATGGGATTAATTATTTTAATAACAAAAATTAGCATATTATTTTATTACGGCATTTGGCTTGCTGTCTGTTTTTAATAAGACCCAATTGACCATATAACTAGCTAGCTAATTAATTTAATCGACAAATCCATTAGGTGTTTTTCTTAATGAGGCACTGGATTATAAGAAGTGGAAAATAGAGACTAGTGAGGGGAAAGAAGTTCTTCAGGCTTGTTTTGGAGTTATTATCATTATTATTTTATTTTCAGAATAAAGTTTGAATAAAACATATCTGATTGGCTCTAGTAATTTGACTCATGCAAAATTCAAAGAAAATGACAATAACGATAAGATTGGAAGAATGAATTGATTGCATTATTAGAAATTTAGGCCGTTCAACGCATTTGGTAAAATGAAATAATCAGAATGTGGGTAGAAAGTGGATATTAAAAAATAAAAGAGAATTGTAGTTTTGCAGAATGTGTGGAAAAGGAAGTAAGTGATGATATCAGAAGACACCCAAATGATGCAGGTCATGAGATCAGAGACAATGAAGGAAAAATGGAAAGAGAAGAAGAGCATTATCTCACAAAAAATAATAAATAATAATAAGAAAACCAATATTTTTCAGCAATCAATCTTGTGGGCCTTCAAAATTAGGTACCATGGAATATGGGTCCACCAAACTCAAATGAGAGATGTTTTTTGATTTCAAATGTCTTCCATTTACCATATTCACAGAATGTTCAGCCAGATTTTCAAAGATCAAAATTTAAGTAACTTGTGCTTGGAGCAGTACAAAGGAACGAATCACAAATGATTTAATTTACGTTTATCTAACGTGTTTCTCGTTAAGTTGGTATAAACAAGTTTCATAAATCTAAATTTAAGTAACTAGTGAAATTAGCAAATTTGTTGTATGCGAGGTAAACAAATTATGATGCCAGAAGTAGATTTAATTCACAAGCTGAGACTTTAGGAATCCTAACTCCTTCTCATGACATAAATAGAAGCAAATAAACCCTTCAAAAGGTGAGAATAATAAAGGGTGAGGTATAACTAGTATAGAAGTTAATAAGAGAACATTAAGTCAAAAGGTAGGGTGAAAACTATGAAAATTAATGAAGCTATATCTTAAAACCAATTGATAATGAGATGAGTAACCATTTATATTACAAATCCTTATTAGGTCCCTTATTTTTTCAATATGGGATTCTAAATGAAAACCGTTCATTTTGCAACAATTATCTTTATGCATGAGGAATGCTAACATGTGGAGAATTGATATGAATAATAGATTAGATAAATCAAGCAGCTTATTTATGATATGAATTGATGCTAAGATTTTTAGTATTAGCATTATGAATAGAAGTATGGAGAAAAGAAAGAAAGAAAAAGAATAGGAGGGGATAAGTATGGAGAAGGTGAGTTCCAAAATCCAAATCCAACCCAACAGTGAGAAGCTTGGGGACCCTGTGTCATGTTGTTGGGTGTCACTGTTTTACTTGTCTGTCTGTATCTTTACAAGTATAGTGGTGTGTGTGTGTGTGTTTTTAACCTTCCCAATCCCACCCTGACCCAGCTGAGCTGACCCAGTCAAAGTTGTATTTCAGATTTCTGAGATTCTGTTGTTGTGGTGGGAATGGCCAATGGGTGCGAACCAAAAACACCATCCAAAGCTGCCATCTTCTTCTTCACAGTTCACAGAGACCAAGGGAGTTTGAAAAAGAAAACACAAATACAGTAATTCCAAGTTCTGTCTGAGCAAATAGACTACCAAATATAAGCTTAATTTTTGAATTAGATCCAGGGGACAGGGAAACACACAATCTGGGAAATTATTGTTATGGAGGAGAAGGAGGAGGTCGGTTCCGCTTGTAGCCAGGCTTGGCGTCGGGTTCCATGGATTTGGTGAGGTCGGCGTACAAATCCACAACCCTTCTGATGTTGTTGTTGAGCTCGCGGATGAGACCCACGTTTCTGCCCAGGTTGTCGGCCATCTTCGACTCCTGGTTTTGGTTAATTTCGTTGATCAGCAATCTGTTTTGGTCCAAAATTTTCTCAACTTCAACCAACTTCTTCTGAAAAGTCTGCACCATTTTCCCATCAATCGCCCTTCCATTGCCCACCGCTCCTCCTGAGATTGAGAATGTCTCCCCCTCCATTCTTTTCTTTTTTCTTCTCAAAAATATAAATCACTCCCACTCCTGCTTCTCCTTCTCCTTCTGCTTCTGCTTCATATCAAATCCAAATTTATTTATTATTTTTCTTCTTGCTAAAAATACACAACCAAAGTTGCAAACAATTTGCATATAAATTCAATATCTGTTTTTTCTTTTCAAAAGACCATCATCATATCTTCTTATCTGCACATGAGACAAGAACTGTAGCAGAAATCATCACCTCCATCCCCATGGGTGATGAGAGGACAAACAAGAGAAATTATCAATGTAAAAAAGATAAAATAATAATAATAATAATTTGATAATGAGATGTGGAAAGAAAAAAGCAGATCCCATTCGCGTTTCCATAAAAGGGAACTTTTTTAATGTACTGAGAGAATACCCACCTAGAGTTGAGAGTTGCAAGGAAGAACGTGTTCAAAGTTGAAACACACACAAAAACCAGTCAATGATGCAGAGAAGATGAGGTACTTGAATTATTCATCTATATTCTATATATAAACTAAAGGGGCATTTTAATTATTCAGAAATCAAAGAACAATCTTAAATTCAATAACTGAGGCTACACATAACATAACACAAGAAGAGAGGAGTAAAAGGCCATAAAGGCCATCCATCCAGAGCTTAGGAGGAGAAGATCTTAAATTAAATATTTTTCCCCCAAAAATTTGATTAGAAGAAACGAAAAGAATTAAGTTTTCCTTTCCTTTTTTCCCCCCTGTGATTGTGTTATTATTATAAATAATTTTTGTAGTACCATAGCATGTTATGTTATGTCCCAGAAGAAAAGAAAAAAAGTTGCGATTTGTGAATGAAATTGAAAACATAGATAATGGGTATTGGTACCTTGAAAATCTGGAACATTCTATTGTGGCGTGTGGGCAGAGGAGTCTGAGAGGAGCAGTGGAAAAAGATGGGAGATTGAATGGAACCTCCGACCTCCTCTGAGAAATCTAGAGAGAGAGAGAGAGAGAGAGAGAGAGAGAGAGAGAGAGAGAGAGAGAGAGAAGGAGAGAGATTTGACAGTCAGGCTCGGCTACTTTGCCGTCCAAATAAAATAAAATATCCACCTGTTATTTGGCATATATTATTTCCATTTCTGCTGCTGGGTGTGGTTCATCAAATTAGATTAGATGGGGATTGCTTTGCTTGTGTCATGTGTGTTTTATTCAGATCCAAATCTTGAGTTGTACACCCGCCACCTGGATTTTGATTCATGCAGTAACGGGTAACCGGCCAATCCCAATCCCATTTCCAATTTTCCATTTCCACTACAAAAATTTCGTCCAAGGACTTTTCACGCCTAATTTAATGCATTTCTTTGTAATATCTCATTCTGAAAAAGATAAAAACCAAAAAAGTGGTTTGCCTTTCTTTAATTGTCCTGTCCACTAAACCAGCGGAGACGGATGCATTTACCTTTTTCATACCCTCAAACATTTATACATTTGGAAAGCCTCACAGTTATTTCTTTCTTTGCTTCATTATAATTAGAATATACTAAAACTTCTACCCCAAAACTCCAATTTTGGCCTACTTTCTGCCCTTCCATTTCTTATTTCAGAGTATTTATTTTAGGTTTTTTTTTTCAATTCGGACAGATTTGGAATTATTAAGAGGTGTTGTAGATNATTAATAAAGATCATTCAAAAGAGGAGTTACCAAATGCCACCTAATTTCGGTTGTTGACCAATTAGTGGAGCAAGCAAAATAAATGAATTACACAATTGAGACGAAGTTGTGTTGAATTCTTTAAATAGTAAAAAAGAAAAAATCTAAAAAATTCAACCATCATATATATATATATATATATATATATATATATATATATATATATAAGTATAAAAAATTAGGGTACTGGGTTCGAACCTAGATTAGATTGGACTATTTTCCTTCCCCTTTTTTAATCAATTTTTTTAGTCCTTAGGGAGCAAAAACTTGACTTCACTTATATAAAAAAAAGAAAGTGGTATGATTTATCTCTAAATTTTAAAAAGTTAAATTAGACATTTATTAATTTTAAATTATTTTTAACTTATGTTGCATTTTTTTTTATCTCTCTCTTCCCTCTTCTCTTACTCTCTCTTCCATCTTCCTTCTCCGGTCTGGTTTTCTTCTCCTCCCTTCCATCTCTCTTCCATCTCTCAAATCGCATAATACAAATTCACAAACTCGGCACAACAACCACTCGTTTGAGAACGATGGTCACCAGTGCCATCGTCAGCAAGGACTACTAATTGATTCCCTGCAATTTTCGACCAATCCCAAATATTTTCAACTAAAAAATGGTTAATTAGACAAATATATTTTCAGCTCAACTCTACCTAGTTCCTGTGTGCAGGGAGAGAGCCATGAAATGACCCACAATTATTGCAAGGTTTCTGAACCAAATTATACAATAATCCATTTTCCCAAAGCTTGAAAAAAGTATCAATGGAGATTGTTTCCAATCTTTGTTATGGAGTTTGTGAGGTAGATGCTACTTCTGACTCCTTTAATTGGGGCTTCAACATGGGGGGTTTTATAGTTTTTAGGATGGCGAGACTGTACACTTAAAAAGTTTGATCTTTTTGGATGTTGGAATTCTCTACAGTGGAAGGGGTGCTTCAACAATGGAATCACTTCGTATAGAGAGGAAGAGAAAGGGAGGAGGAGGGAAGAGAGAGAAAGATAAAGAAAAATGTTAAAAAAATGCCATGTTAAAAATAATTTAAGATTAATAAATATCTAACTCATCAATATCACATTATCAAGACACTGGCAAAAGTTCAACTCCAAATACTTTTTAAAACTACTTCTAAATGTCAGACCAAATTGTCATATTTTTTTATTTTTTATTTTATAAGAAACAACTTTATTAATATGTGAAATTACAAGGGGTGAGAAAACCCAAATACCAAAGGTGTTATATGAAACTTCTCCAACTGGTAAAAAATGTATCCATGCTATAAGAGTAAAAAAGTGGAGATGCTTTATACCAAGATATAGCAAGAAATTTGATATTGTCAAAGAGTTTAGTGAAAGGGAGTTCTTTTTCAGTGAAGAGTCTACGGTTTCTTTCATTCCAAAATGTCCAAAAAATAACCTCGAAGGACGTGTTTCCAAATGATCGCCCTCTCTTTCTTGAAAGGATGGCCCACAAGAACATATGTGAGCAAATCCTTGATATCAATAAGTAGAGCCACCTCCCAATCAAATGCTAGTAGAATCTCATTCCAAAATATTGTTGCGAGGGGCACGTGAGAAAAATGTGAGGATGAAACGGTAATAAAGGGAAGCTTCCGCCGTAATCTATCGTGGAAGTTGATGGCCTTGTGAGTAAGCTCCCATATGAAGAATTTATTCTCCAATGGAGAGAAATGATAATAAAGGGAAGCTACAGCCGTAATCTATCGTGGAAGTTGATCGCCTTGTGAGTAAGCTCCCATACAAAGAATTCAATGATTTCACCCCATATAGCTTTATAACAAGAAGGGAAGAGATGTGGTATTCCTTTGTGTCCAAGTGAGTGAGGAGGGACTTGGTGGAGTAGCCCCTTACTGTCTAGAGGCCATAACCATGCGTCTTCCTCCAAAATGAGTCTGATGGGTGAAAGCTGATTGGAGAGTATGGCCATTCATCAATTTCGTCATCCTCGAGATCTCTCCTAAAACCGAAAGTCCCAAAAGCCAAGCTCATTGTTCCATGTCCTTCACACTTCACAGATGCTGGTTTTCTAAGAGAGAGAGTGAAGGTGAGGGAAAATTGTTACCAAGGGGGAACCGAGCAGCCAAGCATCAGACCGAAAGGATGTAGAAGCCCCATTTCTAACTTGTGATATTGTACGATCATGGACGAGATGCCAATTATTCAATGGGCCACGTGCATATTTTAAGGATTTGGAACCGGGATGCTTATAAATTATCAACTTGCTTTCTGCTCACCTCCAACTCTTTCCTCTCCATTATTACCAACTACATACATCTCTAGCCTTCCATTTCCAATTATTCCTTCCTTGATCACTTACAACTACCCAACACCACGACCTAATTTTAAACTTATGAACTTTTGATGCTTCCATGTCCTCGTCTGAAGCAAAATTTCATGCAACCAACATGCTCTGAATATTCAACCCTAATTCCAACAATCTTTGTTTTTCCATGTACAACACTCTTTCCTAGAAGGCTTGAAGTTTATTTTTTCCTTTTCAACAAAAGAACTTTTATTTCCTTGCGCCTTCTTTTAGTATACAGCCTAGTTACTTCTCGTCCCAGTAGTTTTTTTTTTTTAATTTTCCATTTTCTTTCAAATCTCACAAGAAATCCCTTCCTAATTCACTTCCCTCTTCTCCTACAACGATCCACCCAAAAATAAATATTTGAGTCATACCCAATATAGCATTTCATAAATTGAGAAAGAGAGGAAACCTAGCTAAATATCGTTCCAAGGTTTTTTCTACCATCCCCACAAATTGAGAATCGAGGCCCACTCAAAAGGGTGCATACCATACTTGTTCACAAAGATCCCATGCCACTGAGTGTCAGGCTCCATAAAGAAACATTACAACCATTTACCAATGCCCAAACCCCATGAACTAAAAAGGTTTCGTGACCACCTTCCACCTTACCAAGTGTGACCCACCCTCCTCATCAGCTACAGACCACCTTCTTCACCCATTAATTTTTTTTATTTAATCTGGTAGCTGAATTCTCTCTAATAGTAATTTATAGCAGTAACAATGATGAAAAGAAAAATCTTTATCTCCAAGTCAAACCTACAAGCTTATTAGGACATTAGTTCCTGAAAAGACAAGCTTCTCTCATTTCCTATAAAAAAAAGTTCCTGAAAAAACTAAGTGCAATAGCTCAAGAAAGTAATCTGTAAAGCTCACGACCCAACACAAGGAAGCAGATAAAAAATTGCCTAACTTCAGAAGAGATTGCAAACCCACCTTATCGTCATTGGATTTTGTAACTGTATTGTGAATGGAGGCCAGAGCAAAGAAGGCCCAAGTACAACCGTTGCACTTCTAAGAAAACATCGGTGGCTTCAACCTAGGCATAAGCACATCAAACAAATTTACAAAACATATCATTGGGAATACTAAGTATATCAGATAAAAAGAAAAATAAAAGGAGAAAGAACAAACCTGCACATCAGTGCATTCAGGCCTCTTTCCTCCCAAATAACTTTCTCCGACTGGCTTTGCTTGATACAATCTTAATGATGAGAATAACTCCTTTATTTAGGTAGTTGAGGCACTGTTAGGGCCTTGACCTATCATTTCAAATAGTGGGACAAATCAGATACATATTCACAGCAAGTGGATAATCAACACAAAATCATATAAAGAAGAATTGATGTTCAAAAAAATAGAAAATATAGAGACCTGGTTGTTGTTAACATCAACCAGAATGGCATTTGTTAACTTTGACTGTACTTCTCTAGTTTATTCTTCGTATCAACCTATTCAAAAGTTTCCATTAGTAATCAATTAGAAAAATCACCAGAAATAGCTGTAGTAAACAGCTAAAAATCAAATACTTATTACGTAAGGAACAAGCGCATCCCAAAAAATCCAGCATGTCCTTCGGTAAAATCTGACTGTTTATATTTATGATTGATAACAATTGATATGTTCAGAAGCCAATAAACAAAAATATCCTCCAAAACAAGAGAAATATAATATCTCATGAAAATATACCAGAGATTACTAATCATATTGGCATTAGCAAGCTTTGCCATTGTGTAGGGATGAATTATAGGGATAATCGATAAAATAAAACTAAAGCAGATAGGATACCCTGCATGTTGTACATGAATTATTCTCCCATCCAACTTAAATACCTTATAGGTGTATGAAGAGAAAAATAAATAAATAAATAACAACCAAATTAAACACAACAATCAGCCCTTATTTATCATTGGACCAGAACAAAGATGATGCAAGAGAAATCACGTACCAAATTGAAACAAATTATCACAATCTACTTATCTAGCAGTGTTCCAGCTAAAACTGATATAATAAACTTACATGCTCCATGCATAATAAAGAACCAAAAATGCTTGCGACAGTTATTGATAAGGAAATTGCTTCCTCATCTACCATGAGAGCACCTTGTGCCTGAAAATTGACTAGAAATGAGGCTAAATCAAGGAATCAAACAAGATATGTCTTGGAAGAGACTTTGACAAGAACCTCAAAGCTTATCATACCACATATGAGGCCATCATTAATCCTGAAAAAGTAATAATAAAATTGTCTAAGCCAATTCAAGACTTGTACTACATGATCCTGGATTGACGGTCAAGCCAGCAACATGTAGAATCGTTTCACTTGATCTATAATACTCCATGGGATGTCCATGGGATGCATGTGCTCCAAAGGTTGAAACTTAATAGATATGGCCCCTAACAGGGTATTGCTGGTAATACTCATATGATTTACAATGATCCATTCTTATTTTCATGTAAATTCAAATAAATTTAATTATTAAAGACAATGGCAAGAAAGCCACCTACAAAAGCACAATTGTTAATTTTTATAGAACCTTGGCCCATTCAAGAATGTCAAGTAGGTCAGGGGAATCATCCTGGCCAAATAAAGATGCATCCTCTATCTGTGTCATCAGCATCACTCCTAAAATTTATGCCTTCACCTTGAGACCCCTTGAGAACTACATCATAGTAATTGGATGTTAAAAATCAGCTTTAAAATGACTCAAAGTCACTGCTACATGTAATCAGCTTGATTAAGTTATATTATGTAGCACATTTAACATTAAAAGCATTAATGTAAGTGCAAATAAATCAACCTTTTAGTGATTATTCCACAAGTAAATAACCAATTGTTTATAATATCTTCTAGAGCTCTCTAATTGTCCCTTGGCTCCTCGTAATTTCCTCTAATCATAAATAATAGAAAGGGTGTTTCTACCTGAAAACCTACATATGAGTGTCAGAAGCAAAGAAAGAAAGAAGAAAAGAAGGGCGAGCCTTGTATTGTATGTCAACAAATCTAGTGATTCTTAACATTAGATCCAAATTTCAACGTCATTGTAAAAGATTTTTTTAACAAGATCAAACTATTTAGCATTAAAAGATGCAGTTAAAAATTTACTATCTACACACAAACCAAAAGGTGCAACCAATCTCTTATTAATATTCACGGAGTTCCATCTCAAAACCAATTGGCTACAATGTAGGATCCTTAACATATTCCTTCAAGACGGTGTCTCTTTTGGATTCACCAATCTTGGTCGGATCCCATTTTTGGACTGGATGCTCGTTTGAGTGTTTTGGACTCTGATATTATATTAAGATTCATGGAGTTTCATCTCGAAACCAATTGACAATGAGAGGAGTAGTCCATATCTATTATAAATTCTTATTAGGTCTCTTATCTTTTCGATGTGAGATCCTTAACATCTCTATGATGAATATGCTCTCTCAAAAGCATTAACAAGAAAATATAGATTCCATTAACCATCACAACCAGAAATTTGCAACTACCCAAGATCTCAAAGCAATCATTTTTTAAGTCTTTTTTCTTGGAGGAGAT